TAGTCACTCATTCACCATGCACTCACACAGGCACACCTACGGGCACTTTGGTAATTAACTTTAGTGTGTTTTTGGACTGTGGGGGGAAACCAAAGTTTCATGCATACAATGTAATTGTGAATGATTTTAGAAAGCAAAGATCTGGCACAAGTGTTTTATTATAAATCATACAAAATTTACCCTTCCTTTCTCTGTAGCTGTAGTGAAATGTGTCCATTGTGCAGTCTCATCTATCAAAATGGATGATTTTAGGTCATTTGATTTATTTATATAAAGCTTTTGGGCCCCATTGGGCTAGTACCTTGATCACACAGGCTTTGTTTACTGGGCTTAATCAAAAAGTTTAAATGCAAAAAAGAGTAAAAAATGCCCAAGTCATCTTTGCATAACTGTGTACCACAGGACAGTTTGCTCTCTCGATCTTCTGAGACTTTCTTCATTCCAGGCAGGTTGAACGAGCCACAGAGGAGCCTGTGTTTGTTTGGCAGGTTCCCTTGACGACGGTCAGCCACAGCCAAAGCAGCATTATGACTTCATATTGTCCTGAGATCTTGCATCATTTCCACTTTGAGCTTGTGGTGCGTTCATGAGAGGAAGCAAGAAAAAGGAAAGGAACATAAATGAATCACGTTTACGAGACACAACTGAGCAAAAGCGTCCTGGACACTAGACGTGAGGAGGCATGAACACCTGGCGCCTGAACAGTCTGAGCTGAAACGTGGCACCTGACTCCTACTCCATTATGACCTTATAAATCTTAACATTATCTATAGTAGCAGAAGAATCCTGTGACTCATTAGGATGTTTTGAATATGAGTCAATCTCTCTTGCTACTAGTTTAATTCTGCTATTAATTTAGACCTTGTAAATAAAAATAACTAGTAACCAATGATGGCCCCTCCATGAACCACCTTATCGTGGTGGAGGGGTTTGTGCGCCTCTGTGTATCCTAGGAGCTATGTTGTTGGGGGCTATTGCCCCTGGTAGGATCTCCCAAGGCATATTGGTCCTAAGTGAGCAGCCACTTAGGACTTAGTGCCATTCAGAAATTCCCTATGAAGGGAAAGAGTACGGACCATGTAACCTCAGCCAGAAAGAGTTAAATGAGTTTGCCCTCATGTGGGCCCAATACCTGTGGGGCATGGGGGTCTGGTACAATGTGGATCAGGTGGCAGTCTAAGGTAAAGGGTTGGCAGACTGATCATCTGCTGGCAAAACTGGCTTTATGGACTTGGAATGTAACCTGTCTGGTGGGAAAGGTACCTGGGCTGATATGGGAGGCAGGGAGATACCAACTAGATATAGTCAGGCTTACCTCAATGCATGGCTCAGGCTCTGGAACCAAACTCCTGGAGAGAGGCTTGGCTATTCCACTCTGGAGTTGTCCTGGGCGAGAGGCACTAGGCAGGTGTTGATTTATTTATAGTGCCCAAGTTTGGCACCAAAACATTGGAATTCACCCACTGGTAAATGAGAACATTGCCTCCTTTTGACTATCAGTCGGGGGATAGACTCTGACGGTCATCTATGCTCACGCACTGAAAACCAGTTCAGAGTGTCCAGCCATCTTGGATGGGGTGCTGGAAGGAACCCCTCTGGGGACTCCATTGTTCTACTGGGGAACTTTAATGGTCATGTGGGTAACGACAGTGAAACTGGGAGCAGTGTGACTAGGAGGAATAGCCTGTTCTATCCAAACCCAAGCAGTGCTCTGTTATTGGACTTCCAGCTAACTGCAGATTGTCCATAACAAACACCATGTTCGAGCATTATGGTGTTCATGAGTGCACCCGGTTCAGAAGATCACCCTAGGCTCTAGCTCGATTATTGATTTTGTATAATCAGATCTGTGACTGTATGTCTGGGACACACAGGTGAGTAGAAGAGCTGAGCTGTCAACTGATCACCACCTTGTGGTAGACCAGATATGTAGGTTCTTTGTTATTAGTTATATATGTAGTAACTCCTACTCCAAAACTACTTAGACTTGTACCTGGATGTTTATTGTAAGCTCAGTCTAGCTGCACTTATGCTTAGTTCAGTATGAATGTTTGCAATGCACTCTTTGTCTCACTTTTAAGTCATATTGGACACTAAATATGTAAACATAAATGTAGATGTATATGGAGGGTGTGCTGGGAACTTCTGGCAGAGGCCCCTGTCCAGGTCACACCTCTGGCAGAACTTCTCTTATATTCCAAAGGAGGCTGGAGACATCGAGTCCAAAAGGCTAGTGTTGTTACAGCGCAGCATGGTGCAGGCAGGAAAAAATGGTGGCGATCCACTTATGGTTCCTAGACAAATAAGGATTTATTGAATTAAACACAACACACTGGGGAAAAACACAAATTAAAGGAACCACAAGGGGTCAAAAACTAACAGAGAAGAACAACTAAAAAGCCAAAATAATAACACCAGGGAACAGAGCAACACAGGGAGCCAGACTAAGAAACAAACAGAACACAGTAACGTAGACAATGGCAGACCTGAATAACCGGTGAGAGCAGGCATTTAAATACAATAAGCAACCGGGCTAACGAGATTGGGACCTGTGGGACATCAGACAATTAACCAATCAGAGGCACAGGGCAACAAACAAGCAACAGGTGAAACAAATTACCAAGCATAGAAACGATGGAACTAAACAGACACCGAAACTAGGCCATTTAACCAACTTGAACCCATGACTAAGAGTTGTAGCCTTTGCCACATGCTCATCCCACTGAGCTTTGTGGCAGTCAGGGGAGCAGGGGAGACACACAAGGGCTGAAGGACAAAAAGGGGAAATGACCAGCAATGCCTACTGGCCAAATATGGAAAGGTCAGAAGGGAGGGGTCAGAAGGCGCCAACCTGACAAGTGTTCCCTGCCTCCATTGCTGATGCGGCTGTGCATAGCTGCAGCCGTAAGGCTGTTGGCACCTGTCATTGTAGCAACCCCTGAACTCGGTATTGGAGACCAACAATAAAGAGCCATTAGGCTGAAGAAGGAGGCCTTCTGAGCTTAGTTTGCCTGTGTGACTCCTGATGCAGCTGACAGGTCCTGGCAGGCTAAGCAGATTGTGGCTTTGGCAGTTGCAGGAGCAAAAACTCAGGTATGGGAAGACTTTGGTGAGGCCATGGAAAATGATTTTGAGATTCTGGCAAACCGTCAGATGTCGGAGAGGGAGGAGACAGGTCTTTATCCCTGCTGTTTACAGGGAGGATGGAGAGCTGTTGACCTCATCTGGGGATACAGTCTGGTGCTAGGAGTACTTCAAGGACCTCCTGAATCCCACTGACATGCCATCCTTAGAGAAAGTAGAGTTGGAAGACTCCAAGGAGATCTTGGGCTGTGGTCAATGAAATAGTTAGACAAGTCTTCTGTGGAAAGGCCCCAGGGGTAGATGAGATTGGCCTGAGTTCCTGAAAGAGTTGTTGTGCTGTCTTGGTTGACACGCCTCTTCAACTTTGTGGAGGTTAGGGACTGGTGCCTTTGGTTTGGCAACATTAGGGGGATCACACCCCTCAGCCACCTTGGGAAGGTCTATGCCAAGGTACTGAAAAGGAGGGTCTATACATTGGTTAATCCTCAAATCCAGGTTTACAGTTTGGTTCACTTTTCCAGCAGTAAGTCAGGCTTGTTCCTGCCAGGGCTGCCCTTTGTCACCGATTCTCTTTGTAATTTTTATGGACAGAATTTCTAGGCACAGCCAAGGGGTGAAGTGGGTTCAGATTGTTGACTTCATTGAGCTGTGACCTCCAGCATGGGTAGTTTGCAGCTGAGTGTGAAGTGGCTGTAATGAGATCAGTACCTCCAAGTCTAAGGCTATGGTTCTAAACAGGAAAAGGGTGAAAGGCCCCCTCCAGGTGGGGGATGAGTTACTTCTTAAAACGGTCTTGTTCATGAGTGAGAAAAGAATTACAGGCAGATCAGTGCAGTGTTAGTAGTGATGCAGGCATTGTACTGGTCTAACATGGTGAAGAGAGAGCTGAGCCTATCGAAAGCTATCGATTTACTATTCAGTCTACATTCCGACCCTTTCCTATGGTCACAAGCTTTGGGTAGTGACCGAAAGAATAAGATCTGATAGAAGCAGTGGAAATAAGCTTCCTTCGCAGTGTGTCTGGGCTCAGGCTTCGAGAGAGGATGAGGAGCTCGGTCATTTGGAAGGGGCTCAAAGCAGAGGAGCAAGATGAGGTGGCTTGGGCATTTACCAAGGATGCCTCCTGGACAGCTCCTTGAGGGGATGATTTGGGCATGTTTGACCAGTAAGACATCTTGGGGAAGACCAAAGACATGCTGGAGAGATCTCATGGCTGGCCTGGGAACGCCTTGGTATCCCCCCCGGAGGTGCTGGAGGAGGTGGCTGGGGAGAAGGAGGTCTGGGCATCCCTTCTTAAACTGCTGCCCCCACAACCTAGACCTGGTGCAAAAATCGAGGGATGGTTGGATGGATGACTGCATAGTAACAAATGAATGCCCATTAAACTTGCTTCTCTATGTGAAGAATAATTCTTTCATGCATAATCACTGCAGTTCAAGAAGCTGCCCATTCTTACCCCACCCTGTGTTACAGCCAGTACTTAGTCTGTGCTGTATTTCATGGACACCTTGGCCTTCTGATGCATATTGGGACTGGAAAAAAGTCTTGCTTCCCCTCCTCATCAGGCTTCTGCTGACTTGTAAAACATTTAGAACATGTCATGAGTCCATCCATGACATTCTGTCACCTACAGCAACTTACTGTCAGCAGAGCTTTGACCGCATAGTAAATGAGTGAGAAATGTGAGCATGAAGGCTCTGTGCATATGCATCATTATATACACATACTGCATCCCAAGGTCAGCAGCTATGAACATCACTGGGCAGAGATGAGATCTACTTGGTGAGATTAGTGCATTTTTGCGAGGCCGTGCCGCTCACCAGACCAGTACTGCTCTGCTTTGAGTGGGATGAGACTGGACGGAAAGCAGGGTAGTGACATCCAGACCATAATACTGATTTATTGCCGATGGCAACCTTCACAGGGTCATTCTGGTTAAGACCATGGTTCTCACCTGGAGAATAGTCCTGTGTTATGACAAATGATAACCTGGGGAGTAGCGCCTGTGGTCCTCATCTCCTATGCCAACAACGTCTTGGAAGCAGGGTGGAAGCATGTGGAAAAAGCCAGTATAAATCTCCATCCGCAGCCCCAAAACCCTCATACTCCCAATCAGACAACCACTGACTGGGCCTAGAAGGTGCAGCATCACAATTCACTCTTTCCAGATTCTCTGGGCTGGTGACCAGGTAGTCAGGTTGATATCATAGGGTGAAAAAAGTCAAATTCAAAAAGAGTTGGTTTTCATTTAAAGCAATGGCCAGTGTTTGGGAGAGTAAAGAAAGAAAAATGTTCCCGTTTCCACTGCTAATGTTTATTGCCAAGGCATATTTATCTAAAGAAAGTAAAATATTTTTTATTAGGTTCTGTTTTATGTTTACCTCTAAGGATGAAATAATGGCAGAAGCGAGGCACATTCCAGGCAAAAGAAGACCTCCATATTTTTACTATTCTGTCGCTTTTGCTTGATGCATGACGTTGCTCAGCACGGCATGCCCTAAAGAGCACTTTCTGGGTCTCTGGATGCACCAGCTCTTTACAAATTGGCAGGGTTTAGCATTTAGCTCAAGTGCATTTGGGCTGAAGAGAGTCTGATTGAACTTCAGGGCTTGGCTCGATGCATTGGTATAGGTCAACTTACCTAAATATCCAAGCATGCTCTAGCTCTTTGTGGTTTTGGCTATAGGTCAACTTACCTAAATATCCAAGCATGCTCTAGCTCTTTGTGGTTTTGGCTGCTGCTATTTTTGCAGCTCTTATTCACATTTAATGTAATGCATTCCACACCATCACAATAATAATAAGTAACAGAGAGCTGGAATCTACACTACCAAATATGGGAGGCAGGCAAAACGACTCCAGTCTAGACTAAAGACAGGCCAGTGCATTGTCCTGTCTCTGTTTTCTTATTTTTTTGTGCATTGTTCAAATGCAACTGTGTCAACACTTCAGCTCTTAAAACACATTAATTGAACGAGCTCTTCATTATACCTCTCTCTATATTACCCATGGTACCAGCAGACTCAAGCTCAAAACAATGCTACATTAACACCGTAAGAATAATACCTTACAGTCTAGCAGTTATTCTACATCTTCTGTCCCAGCTGAGCAAGAAAGAATATTGAGAGAGATAGTTAATTTGTCTGTGCCATCAACAGAGCCCTCCATGGCATGTAAAGAACTCTGTCCAGCTGTACTGAACAGTGAACAATAAGCAGCGTAAATCCTGGGCTAAAACTGTGCTGAAAAGCCCAGATAATATCCCTGGTAATGAAAGCATGGTGTCTCTGAATTGCCCTCACATGTCCAATAAGGGAGACCTTGTCTCAGCTGGATTATAAAGGATATGAAGGAATCATTAAATGGATGAAGTTGCAGTGTTTAACTGATGATGCCTGTGTTTTTTTTTCATGTTTCAGCCTTTTCCAGGGGCGCAGTGAGGTTTAAGAAGGAACTGCACCAGGCCCAGGGTGCCGGGGCTCTTCCCAGGCCTGGATGGAGATGCCAGTGAGGTGAGATGGCCGCAGTGGGTTCGTTTGGCGCTCTGTGATGTCACAGAGGCGGCTGCCACCGGAGCTGCAGGCGACGCTCAGGTTCCACGTGATGTCAGCGGCAGCAGAGCCCTGAATGCGGGTCGAAACAGGAGCTGAGGCAGCACGTGACCCAGAGGAACATAAGGGCCTCTCTGTGCCTGCCACAGCTGCCGCGGCTGGTCCCCCCTCCCCCTCTCTGACCCCCCCCACCCCCTCTGTTTTATCCCTTATCACCCCCATCACCTTGGCGGCTTACCTGCTCGTCCTCCCAGACCCTGCACACATTTACCTACATTATCCAGTATCCAGTGTTGTTAAATGCTTACTGTAAAGTGGGCAAGCTGTGATTTCACACTGCGACTGTCCCCTGGCTCGCCGTCCCGCCGTCGGCTGAGACCTGCGCCAAGCATTCTGACTGCGAGTAATTAAGCGGAATGCCTGATTCCGGAAATATTGCTGCTAAGACTATACGGTGTTTTTTTTATTATTATTTTAAGTGCGCAGACAAGCACGCGTGAGGTAAGGGAACGAACACAGGCGGTAAAGCAGGAGCATCTCACCTTACATGTGGGAAACAAGTCAGTGTGAGATCCTTGTCCTTCAATGTGAGCCGAGGGCCAGCAGGGGAGACAGTAAGTCTCACTCACTCACTCACTGTCTCTCTCTCTCTCTCTCTCTCACACGCACACACACACACACACACGCACACCTGTATTCATATCTTTGTGGGGACCATCCATTAATTTCCCATGGGAAAAATCCCAATCACGACACCCTTAACCCTTACCCAGCCTTTACCTTCACAATAAGCAACCAAGCAAAATCCAAGACATGTTTTGTTTTTTGATTGCATTCACAGATTTTTATAAAATTGAGGTTATCCAAATGGAGACTGAAAAAAATAGTCCCCAAGAGGTCAAAATAACAGGTGTTTATCACACAGTGGGGACATTTGGTCCCTACAATGTAATATATACATAACCCACACAAACACACACACACACACACACACACACACACACACACACACACACAGATTGTGACTCACTCGTATCACTAAACACACAAGTATCTGGTTCTTCTTGTTTCACCATGATACCCTTTTTCTAAGGCGAAACTGAATCACAGAAAAAAGGAGCTGACGAATGGGATGTTGACACGGTCTTTGTGTCAGAATTTATTTCAAAGTCAATTCCAGCTGACATGACACCATGGTAAAGCACCTCACAAACATTCATTATGTTAGGAAAGCACATGTAGACATGCATTTTAATATCTATTCGACATATATTTAAAACCAGGAAACCCATCCATTTTTAACAGTTATTTATCCAGACAGGATCACAGGGTATCCCAAGAAGCATTAGGGCATAAAGCAGAACATAGCAAATTAGCATTTTATTTATGAGAAGCATAAAACTACTACTCAGGTACAAATATGGTCGTTATCCTCCATCTGTTGTCCATAAGTACTTATCCAGTACTGGGCTTTAAAGGGCCTGGGGTGTGTTCCAGATAATACAGGGAGGGTACACCCTAGACTGGATCACCATCTTTGAGTATCTCTCACATTCACTGCTGTGCTACATACACCGAGGCGAATAGTCCAGGTCCAGAAAGTAAAAATCCAGACCAAGATTTTGTTTCAGCTTTCGAGTTGAGTACTCTGAGACTGCGACTCTTTATGCTCATCTGCTTGGTCTGGATTTTTACGTTCTGGACCTGAATCATCCACCTCTGCAGCCACATTAACACGGCTGTGAAATGGCACACGGCCGCCCCGCCTTTTCACGCCCGCATGCTGAACTGTAGTTATCGCGCTTCTGAAAAATTCCCCAGCAGCTCCAGGCTCAACTCCCACCGGGCCTCAAAGTTATTTCTCGGCCGCCGCAGAGTGACGAGCGCCAGGTAAGCGTGCCTGCATTCCGCTTTCATCAGGTCACTCTCCCTAATGAAACAGGGAATCTCACCGCCTGAACCATTAATCACTGCTGGCTGCTTAGGGCCTCTCAGGTCGCTCTCACGTGTCCAATGGGGCTGAGCAGCCCCTTCCTCTTGAATTATAGAGAATATGAAGAGCCCTTTATGAGGATGAAGTGATAGCGTTTAACTGACCGGGCTTGTGCTTCTGGATCTACATTCAGTTAGTCTGTGTAACCGCAGCAGGTAGGAAGGAAAAATTTAATGGGCCTAATATTCACGGTCTGGCCTTTTAGCAACTGACGTTCCAATTCAGACTAATGTGTGGACCTTGTGTGGCTCACCGGATCTGTTCCTTCTCTCTCCTGATTCGGCTGCTGGATGCCCATTGGCAGAACACTGGACCTCTGCTCAGTGGCGGTACCAGGATGCCATGCTGGGGTGGGCATCAATATTCAAATTGTATTAGAGGTCTTGAGGGGTCCCCTGGAGAACAGGTGTTGAATTGGTGGGGGGAGATGATCCATTTAGGTGAGCTCTTCCCACCCCCGTTCACCAATAGCTACAGTCCTGCTTCCCTGTAGCCACACCTCTGCCACATGTAGCCACGCCCCTGTCTCCCCGCAGCCATGCCTGCATCCCCCACAGCCACTCCCCTGTCTTTAGTCATGACTCTGTCACACTGCTGCCCATCCCTCTGCGTTCCCTTGACTTATCTGACTGCTCCTGGGCTCTGCAGACCCTCTGACCCTCAGTGGAGCAGCTCCAGGGAGTTCAGCTGCGCAGTTTGATCCCGGCTGCAGCCAGACTAATGCCATTTGCATGTCAAACACCTGCCTATCTGTCTGCCTGCCTGCCTGTTTGTCTACCGGCCTGCTTGTCTGTCTGCCTTCTTGCCTGTCTGTCTGCCTTCTTGCCTGTCTGTCTGCCTTTCTGCCTGTGTGCTTGCCTGCCTGCTTGACTGCTTGTCTGTCTGCCTGTCTGCCTTCTTGCCTGTCTGCCTGCCTGTCTGCCCGTGTGCCTGTCTGCCTTCCTGCCTGCTTGCCTGTCTGCCTGTCTGCCTGTCTGTCTGTCTGTCTGTCTGTCTGCCTGTCTGCCCGTCTGCCTGCCTTCCTGTGTGCCGTGGAGACTCCGTCCGCCTGCTTGCCCAGCTTAGCCTGTGACAGGTGCCAGCCCCATTACAGCCCCGTCAGGGCTAAGGGAGGGGGCACCGTAGGGGTTATACGCTGCAGCGTGATAGTCATGACTCAGTCCCTCCCCCAGCCCAGGAAAATACCGCGCTGCGCTGAGCCTCCAGATGTTTCCCACGGGGGAGCAGGCCAGTCAGGGGAAGCCCCAAGGCACCTTCTCAAAGCTGTGGCCTTTGCCTTTAATGGCGGCCGGCCATGAAGCGCTGCTTATGAGAAATGCCCTGCTGGGATCGGACGGGGTGTCATCTGTGTATTATATGAGGGGGATTCTTTCTTAAGGACGTGCAGCGCTGGGAGCAGAGGTCTCCCTCACATCTGTGTGTAGCTGGAGCGAGACGCAGGGCCGTGCCCTGGCACTAGCACGTCTGCCAGCGCCGGGCGGGTTACGGTTCCCGCTGGCGTGCCGCCGGCTGGCCTCGTCGCCGCACAGAGGTGCCTCTGTTGCGATCAAACATGCCATCCACAATGCTCCTGCCCATCTCCCTGCACCTCCCCCACCTCCTCGGGGACGCTATGGCACGGCCCGTCACCAGCCCCCACACGGGGAGGAAAGGCCCTTCGGCATGGGGCACTGCCACGTTCTCAGACCCGCATGGCACACTTGGCTTCCATCTGTTCCTGTCATCCGATACGCTGGACCTTATCTGCCCATTGCAAACATTTACCAGCACCGCTGGCTGTGAGACACGCACGTGTGGTACTCTCACACCTCAAATAAAACAAACATTCTTTTCAGTGGGATAATTTGTTCCTTCCGGTCTACGACTTGCTTTGCTGCCAGGAAGCTTAATTTTGGGAGTCCCGTCCGCCACACTCAGTAGAGTTTGCCTGGATAGGACTGGCTTAACCCCTCTGCACTAGGGCGTGACAGATACGGACTGCAATCACTGAGGAGTCCGTCCCACAAGCCCACGTGCAGAGTCAGGTCCCAGTGAGTCACTGCAAACGCCGGGTTTCATGTCACGTAATCACTTAAGCAATCACCTGGGCTAATTGTTTCCCCAGCTAAATTAATTAGGCTTCTCTCTCAGGGTCCGAAGCTGCCAGCACTGGAAGAGCTGCTCCCACCCGGAGCTACACTGGGAAGTCCTGCCCTCATCTCCGCACATGCAGACTTTCTGGCTGTATGATGACATAATGTGATTCTGGAAAAGGGAAATTCCAGGCATTTTTTTTTACCCGTCGGGCCCTGAGCGGAAACAACAGGAACTTTTAAGCTGCAGTATTACATTTTTTCTCCTCCTTGAATGGACGCGCATGAGCCGGTCTGTCACAGGCGAGCGACTGGCTCTCTCACGGATATAAAACACATTATTTTTATACGGGGGGGGGGGGGCGGGTTACTGGCTAATGTGAGCTGCAGCATCATGTTACCGTCACGCAGGAAGGGTACATCAGAGCACATACGTGCTCAGGTTCCAGGACTGTTTGCTCTGTGACTCTGAAACTGGGAGAAGAGTGAGCACTGTTATCCACAGCAGATAACATTCAGGTGAAAAAATGTATGTCTTCTCGCATAATTTCCTGGCCTGTGTATAGCCTGGAGGTCTGTTTTGTACAGTTCTCTGTGACCATCATCTCATCTTTCCCTTTTAGCTGCACCAATGATTCATTGGAAATGAAGGGTTTGAACCAGAGCAGAGAAGGGCAGACACTCTTGTAAATATTATGATTTTAGAATGAATGAAATACAATTTGTCAACTGACAGAAGACAATGGATGCTGACAGATTCCATGATTCGTGTGAAGAATGCAAGTCTTTTTCCAATACAGTGTCATTTTCAGTAAACAAAATGGGGAAATAAACAAGAAGCAGCATCTTTCAGGTGAAAAAGTGGATTAGAACACAATTTAATATTAATTTTTAAAGCCACTTTAACTCCCTGTGGTTATTTTCAGACAGGTGTGGGAGGTACGTATGTTACTCAATGGATGTAGATGGCATATAAAACATTGCCTGAAACTTTTGTTAAATGCCATTTGTGCCTATAAATGTCATTGTTATGTATCTTTTAGTAGTTTCTACATGTTTTCATTATTTAATGGATGGATGGATGTTTCTTATCACAATTTCTCTTTTTTCTGCTGTCTTTGCACTGTTGGTATAGAAACTACGGATGTCAGGGTAAAACGCCCCATTGTGCCGCCTGGACTCGCAGTGTTCATTGTTTTCGGTGATGCAAGCAGTCAGATGGGCAGGGTGGCCATTTTGGCTAATCTCTACACTCACTGAGTCAGCAGCAGCTGCTCTGTGGCTCCCTCCCCTCCCCCCTCTTCTCCCCCCTTTCCATCGGGGTCCCTTTTCAGAACTGCCACCTTATTATCGCCATACAGCTGATGTCATAACCAGTGCAGGATGCAGCCCCTTCGCCCGGCCAATGAGGAGTGGGCATGTGCTGAGGGCGGGGCACTTTCCCTTCACTGGCCAATGAGGATCAGGCATGCGCTGAGGGTGTGGCACTTTCCCTGATTATATTTATAGCCACCGTGACATCAAACTACACACATAAGGCAAAGTGACCCCTGGGATATCAAGCATCCGTACACATTCAGAGGTCGTCCTCTTCACACTGTCATGAGCACATGCTCATATTAGGTTAATGTCCATCATAAAGTTTTTAAAGCAAAATAAAAGCACAGAATATTACAAATCCTATTTCATCCAATGCCTCCCCACCTTATGATTCAGACATTCTTGTCTGGCGTGTGGCATATCTGCGCTGATTAAAACAGGCGCATAAATATCAGCTACAGGTTGGCATTTTCAAAGTGAACACGCAATGAGGTCGGTCAAATCTGTTAAAATGGAATTTTGTCCTGATATTAATTTATTTCTTATTTA